GTATTTTTTCTATAAAGTCACTATTTTTTTATTTACAGAAAAATGATCATAACTTTTAATATTTATAATAACTATCTTAAATATTTTTTTGTCTATTACCTAACATTATGATTTCTATTTCTGTTTTTAATATATTTATATAATGTCAATATATTATTTATTATTATTTATTATGTGGGCTCCGAAAATTAGGCCTTAAACTCCTCCCGCTTTTCTTTTCTTTGGCGAGGGAGTTTTAATGGATTTAAGTTTCAAGGTAAATTTTGGAAGTTAGATAGGTTTGTAGATAAGACACTACCCATATATTTCATCCTTATTTTGCCAGGACTTTATGATCTGAGTTCTGATTTCATATAGGCACAAGCTCCTATAGTTAATTACCCCTACAAATAATGAGAGAGAACTTTTGATTAAGGTTAGTTGTCAATCAGATACGTAGAAATACATGTTATCTGGCATATAGTAACAGCATTGGACTTAAAAAATGTTGAAATTGGAAGGTTGGAAGATTTGAAATTTAAAATTATAAAATTTCACCATATTGCACTTAAAGCAGATGGTAGGGGAATAGATGATGGACCCGATCAAGATCACATGGTTTCGTCTTCCAAGCCATCGTAGTTCATGGTCTACTTAGTCAAAGGAGGTCGTCAACCCAACCTGATAGAAGGATCCTTATCAGTAGCCATGGGTTGCTTCGTCCAAGGGTATCTTGTAGACCTGGGGTGAATGTTTGTCTAAGAGGACATATTTGAATCCACCTTAGCTAATAGAGGGCTTTATGCCATATCGATTATATCCTATTGATCATATCTCAAGGATTTGACGTCACTAAAGAGCGTATTGGCTCTGGCCATAACCGGTATTTCGTGATGCCATTTGGCGGTAAAACCACTCGGTTCAAAGGTCCTCGGGTCATAACCATTTATCCTGCGGTGACATTTAGCGACAAAATCATTAGTTATAGGACATGTACCGTGTCATTACTAGCAATTGATTATTTAAGAATAGATCCTAGTGATATTTTGGACTAGGCATTAGCTCTTTGTGAGCTAAAGTAAATTTCAATTTTGTCCACCTCGATAAACTGTTGCATAGGGTAGATGGATTTTTTGCTTTAAGTGATTTATGATTCAATTTTAAATTTTAAATTTTCTAGGTTTGGATGAATTGTAGAGTTTTGGATTTATGAGAGCATTGAATTTCATGGGTATTTGGATAGAATTTGAAATATTTGGAATCAACCCCTCTAATTAAGATTTATATTCAACACGGCCATTATCGGGGTGTCTTGAATCTTTTTCATTTTTGGATTGGACCTTGTCGACTTTATTGAGATGTTAATAGAAGAACGGATTCATTATAGGCTTTGTGCCTTTATTTGTAAATTTTCCTTGAAATAGACCTTGAAGGCCTAATAAGAATGTATTAAGACAAATACACTGGTCGCCGAAGCCGAATATTTATTTGATGGTTCAAACCTTGTTGACTCCTATTGATCCACATAGAAGAATCTGGTTCGAACTTGAATTTACTTATCGACCAGTGCAACATCCCTAAACATCATGTGTGTACCAATAACATGCTCGTCAAGGTCCATGCGGGTGTTTGGGGGTACTTTATAATTATTTACTGAAACTTATTGACATATATTTATTTGCTTGGAAGGATTGGGATCAAATTTATTGATCCGTGCAGCATCCCTAAACGTCACATGTGTACCAATAACATGCTCTTCAGGCCCCATGCGGGTGAATGATTATATTTATGCCTTTTGTATACTTATGTGTATACTAATTACGATGCATAGGGGGGGGGGGTACTTTAAAATATTTGTAAATGATTTCTATCTGCTTTCATGAATGTTGTGGATCCTGGTGTGTTGTAGTATATTTTATATTGAGTTATTTGTTGTTTTGTACAGGTATATTGTCATAAACTGCTTATTTCTTTATGCAGATGCATTGTAAAGCACCAACAATCTCCTGCTTTAAGTTGTAGAGGCTTGCATTTATTACATGTCATTCACCTTTGCTCGTAGATGGCACTTTGCATATATAAAAGGCTTCTTACGATGGCTTGTAGGATTTCTGGATTTGTCCGAAGATGGTATATTGAGTAGGAGACGGGCCATTTGCAGCAGTTGTAGGCACTTGCAATTATTGCATGTCATTAGCTTTTGGTTGTAAAGGGGATCGATGTACTTGCTTGTCATTAAGTGGTCATCAATCAAAAGGGCGTTATGACATGTGACGCTCATCGCTAGTCACCAATTATACATATGCTACTATGCATATATAAACCCCATCATTGACAATAGGTATCCGCATTCATTTACACATTTATTTATGTTTTCTTGCGAAGGACCCCCTATCCTTGTAATACATTTATTGTTGTTGCTCGCAGGCAAGTTAATATATCCGTTTAAATGCCTATATTATTCATTGCTTGAGCTGCATTTGCCATCCATCTTTTGCATATGTTGATTGATGAATTGTTGCCTTTGTCATTGGTTTCTTTACTGTGTTTATTGAAGGAATCTTTTATATTTGCTTGCGCCCATTTCAGTGTTCATAGGGAATTCACTGCATTCATAATCATCTATTGATTGTTATCCCTTGCATGTGAGGAGTCTCTTATTTATTCATTGGTACTTGTATTTAGATTCATATGTCGGTACCGTCAATCATTAGTTAAAACTCTTATATTATTGATTTCGAACATATTATGTCCCAAGTTCTTGGCCGTGTATAGGCACTTGCATTTTTGCACATGCATGTTGTACTTTGTAAGCAAATGAACACTTGAGCTAACATGGTGATTCTTCAATGTTGATTAAAAATCTGCATCATTGATTTCAATCATGTGGTTGTTCATTCATCTGACTATTCCCTTGTGCCGATTGCTTGACACCAATCATCTTCAATTTCTTAGGAAAATGATTGAGATATATTTCTTGTATTCATGACATGCCTCCTTTTTACTCAATTTATTGTTATTTAGGAGTGGGTTATGCTCTATATTGCAAACCAACTATCATGCTCCAAAGTTCTCATATGATGACTTTGTAATCAAGCCATGTCTTTCACAATCTCCTTTTGTATATTTATCAATACCTTTATTTCACTTAAGAAGATGTCATTTATTTGTCCTTTATCTTCATAAACATGTTACAAGAGAGTTGTTTGTTCAAATAGTTCAAATTCAATATGGTTCCATTCAGTTCATTTTCAAGTCTTTTGCAATTTGAGTTTGATTCAAGTCCAGGTTCCTTTGATCATTCAAGTCAAGTTCAGATTTTTTATTTGATTCAAGTTTTAGTTTGCATCATTTGATTTCAAATAAGTTCCCTGGTGAACAAAAGTTTGCAAGTTCAAGTCCCCTGTTGTCCTTTTGAGTTCAAATCCTTATCTTTTTTTAGATAAAATTTCTACAACCTCCGGGCGTATGGGTGTCAATTCAGGTCGACGGGTCTGGTTCGGGTCGAACCCGAGTTGACCAGGATCTAAACGGGTCAACCTGACCCATTTTTACAAACATGTCGGACATTTCAACCCAGACCCGACCTGGCCGGATTGCCGGGTTGACCCAACCCAACCTGCGCGGCAAAGAACGGAGCTCGCGACAGCGCGAGTGCGGACGAAGTCCGGGTGTGTTAGTCCGTGGAACCGTGCGAGCGCGCGAGTTCGAACTTCAGAGGGAGTCCGGGTCCGGCAGTCCACGGTACCTCACCACGCTTCCGGGACGGAGTCTGCCGGACCGAATGCACGGCAGCGCGAGCGCGATAGCGTGAGCGTGGGATCGGGCAAGGTCGGTAACGACGAACCCGCATTTTTTGGGTCAGTATCGGGTTGATTTTTGGTTTTCGGGTCAACCCGAACCCGACCCATTTTTGAAACGGGACAAATATCTGAACTGAACCCGATCCATTTGCTAAACGGGTGAATACGAACCCGGATTTTTCTAGGTCGGGCCTGAGTCTGGTTTCGGGTCGGGTCAAAAATTTACACCCCTACCAGTGCGTCTCCCCTGATTAGATAAAAAATCAAGAGGCAGCCTACTCACCATGTCAGGAAAGATGTGCACGATCAGTGTTTGTGAGACACCGCAGCCGTAATATTCATTATCCACCTCGCCAAGAATGGCGTGCATGGGTCTTTAAAAGCACATGTTTGAAGAACCAGTTCTTTCCCCGCGTACGGATACTAATATTTTTGCCCCGAATTATAATTAATGATAATTAATTATAATTAATAGTAATTAATTATAAATAATTAATTAATTATAATTTAAAAATAAGTAACTATAAATAATTACTTATGATTATTTACTTAATTATAATTAATAATTAATTAATTATTATTAAGTTATTATAATTATACTTAATTAATAATTATAACTAATTAATAATGAATTGTAATTAGTAATTAATTATAAATACAAGAAATAATGATTAATGAAATAATAATAAAAATAATAACAAAAATAAAAAATCCTCCCTTCGTTCTGTTGATGTTCCCGGGAGTTGGCTGCAGAAGCACGCAATGGAGAGAAAGTGACTTTCATACCTAGCGAGCTCCTAGTGTTGCTACCGATCAAAATGTCGTGACCCCCGATCCAACAGGGGCAGGCGTCCAAGGAGCAAAGCCGATCGAGCGGCTAGGGCTTGGAGACGGCTCGGGATTTGGTCGGAGGAGGAAGGAAGAACTCCCTCTCTCTCTCTCTCTCTCGACCGAATGGGTTGAGATCGAAAAAGGCGTGGGGTGAGTGTTTGGCGAATTCGGTAGGTTTCGTCGGAGGTGGAGATTGGTCCGACTTTTGAAGCTTGGATGATGGGAGATTGAATGGAGGAAGAAGAGATCGGGAGGCCTTGGGTTGAGTTCGGATGGGAGGTTGGAGTTTAGCGCACAGCAGGATCGTGGGCTTCGGTTTCGGAAGACCGGAGATCACAGAGAGGGGGCGACGCCCGAAGGCTTCGTTTCATTTTAAAGGGGCTGGAGAGCGGGAGCTTCTGCCAAATGAGCGAATCCTGGTAAACGACGCGAACGGCGTCGAATGAATAGTGCTTTCAGCAGGTTTTGAGCCAGATTTTGTGGATTTCAGCCAGGATTTGAGCAGGATTTCTGGATTCAGGTATTCATTGATTTCTTCTTTTTTTTTTTTAAGAATATGTTATTGAGGTCAACATGTTTGTATTTGCATTTTTTCATGTATAATTTTTCCCAAAATAAATAAAGAATTTTTGGTAGGTCGTCTTCTGCTACCTTGTGTTGTTATTCACGTATTCTCTTTTTTAAATATATTTTTTATTTTTAAAATTTTATTCAGGTGCACGTGTATTTATACTAGGACATTCAGTTTATAGTACAAAGAGGTGTCAATTATGCATTCATTATTACGGAGAATATAAGCATTTTCTTGCATATACTGATATACAGATTTGAGCTTGCTGATGTAGCAGAAATAACCAAATCATTCAAATTGATATTGACTTACTTTTAGTCAAAATGAATCTTTGTTGAGATCTAAATCATCACACTTAGTTTTATCTTCTGGACTCAAATTTACTGATTAAAATAGCAGCACTTAGAGAAATGATGGATGCATTGATAAGGAAGGCCAAGGAAAGAGCAATTGCACTTTCTGTAGTGTAGAGCCTGCATCCTTCCTGTCATGGTCACAGATAATATATAACTGAAGGTTCAAAAACAGAAGAGGCTTATTCATAATAAGAACACTTTAGTGCTGATTTCAATTACCTAACAGTGCTGTAGAAAAAAAAATTTACTACTGCTCAATGCAAGTTGTCATCATATATTCAACATTTATTACCATCTGAAACCCTTTTTTTCAATTTAATAAAGAAGCAAACAGCCATCTGAAACCCTTTTTTTTTAATTCATAAATTATGATCTTAGTGAATTTGACTACTTATTTTAATTAATATTGCTTTCTTTTTTCGTTGCTCTTTTCTGAGATCACATGAAATGGAGAGGTAGGATTTAAACTTGTCTTCCGTAATTTTTTTGTTGCTCTTTTCCCATACAACATATATATAACATTTCAGTTAATATCCTAAGATGAGCCACGATTATAGATTTGGGAATAATGATATTAAATTTATGCTCAGTCATTTCTCAGATCACAACTTTGACTATCAATTTTTATCCTCTTAATGCATTTCATTTAATGCATTAGTATTGAAGATTGTTCTCTTTGAGTAAGATTTATCATGAAGAACATTATAAGCTCTCAATCATATGAGATTAGATATACATGCCTTTGCTTGAAAAGTATTTCAATCATTTATCAATTGTTATCACTTCACCAACGGTGCTCTCTCTCGCCAAACATATCATCGGATGCAACAACCAATGAAGAGAACTATCAATAGGTTTTCCAAAATTCTAAGGTTTTTTTTTTCCAAAATTCTAAGGTTATTGTATACTTAGTTAAGAAATGGTTATCAAAATTTTGAGAGTTATTTACTTTTTTTTTTTAAGATGCCAATTTTTTACTAATTGCATTCTCTTTTCTAAATACTAGAAATTTTTGTTGTAGTTAACAACATTTAAGACTTTAGTAGGTTCTCGTCTGAAGCATGTGATCATATTTCTTGTGCTAATATGACAAGAATATCTTGAGAAGAGAAAGAAAAATACACATGACTTTGTCGTGGAGGGTGGAAGAAAATACAAAGAAGGTCAAATTCTATTGAGAGGAGAGAGTAATAATTCTTATATTTTCATTTATTTTTACGATTCTAGCAACGTGCAGTGTGCACACGTGCATTAAAACTAGTATATAAAAAAGGACCATCAAATAATACATAAATAAAATTAAGTACATCAATATCACTGATACAAACTTGTTCATGCTGCCATTGCATTCTTCACATTTCATATATATCAAACAATTTATTAAGATAAGAAGAATGAAGCTCACCTTATGTATTTTGAATTTTTCATTAACGAATAAAGATATCAGGAATATGAGCAATCTTGTGGCGATCGGAGCCTCCATCCTTTCGATAGCGCTCAAATAACTCTGGATGACAAGACTGAATTGATAGACGTTTCAAAGAGGGAGGAAGGTTCGGCAATTCCCGAAGCAATGGAACATTAGAAATATGTAGTTTCTGAAGTGAAGATAAGCTTTCCAAGAAGGAAGGGAGAGACTCTAAGGATTTGAGACAGAAAAATTGCAGCTCAGAATGAGAAGACCTATTATTGAGAAACCACTGCTCCGCCTCATTTGAAAATAAAACCAGCTCATCATTATCCATAATTGAAAGCCATTTTAAGGAGGCGATACTTCTCAATGGCTCCATTAGCAACACCGATGGATCACTTATTTCAAGACTGCTGAGCATGAGATGACAATTATTAGTGGTCTCCACTTCTCCATATCTTCCCAGAGATCTCAGATTGGGGCAATTTCTAATAGATAGGTTCTGAAGTGAAGATAAGCTTTCCAAGGAGGAAGGGAGAGACTCTAAGGATTTGAGCCATAAAAATTGCAGCTCAGAAAGAGAAGACCTATCATTGAGAAACCACTGCTCCGCCTCATTTGGAAATGAAACCAGTTCATTATTACCAAAGATAACCAGGTTTTTTAAGGAGGCGATACTTCTCAATGGTTCCATTAGCAACACCGATGGATCACTTATACAGAGATGGCTAAGTATGAGATGGCAATTATTAGTGGTCTCCACTTCTTGATATATTCCGAGAGAGATCAGATTGGGGCAATTTATAATTGACAAGAATCTTAGTGCTGCAAGTCCTGCTATTTCATCAAGAGGAAGGGATGTAATGTTTGGACAGTTACAGACCGATAATACTTCAAGGGGAATAGGATTTGAATTGCTACAAAAATTCAAAGTCTTCCACCCAGTGTTTTCTATCTGCAACCTCTTGAGCTTAGGAGGCAAAGAGGGTAATTCTTTCAACTTCGGGCAGCTAAATAGGTTCAGTTCAATTAAGCAAGGAAACAAACATCCATCTTCAGCAGCTACTCCTGCCTCAAACCAATCCTCTAATGCTTCTAATCTCTCAATACATAACACCTCTAGCAATGGAAAGGCATGGTATTGATCAATCACATTAAATTTACTTTCGAGGCATTTTATTTTCGGCATGTTATAAAGTGTTAGTGACTTGAGGATGGGAAGTTGTCCAAAAGGTGGAAGAGTTTCACACTCCAAGCAATCTCTCAATTCGATTTTCTCTAGATTGAAGATTGGATTGACATTGTTCATCCATATTGCAGACCTTGAACCTCCGTAATTATTTATCCTCAGATTCCTTAGACATTTTGGTGGCTGAAGGTTGTCGAGCACGTTCTCATCTAAATCGATGATCCTCGAATAAGTGTTACTCCACCATAAGTTCAAATCTGTGAGCCTCCTCTTTTCGCATAATTGGGCATTACGAGCCTCCTCGGCGTCCTTCACATTTTCAAGGCAGTTGATTCCTAATTTGCAAAGATCATTCAAATACTTCAACTCATCAATTCTAAAACCTATCTCATTTCTTAGATCAAACATATCCAGTTCTTGAAGAGAGTTTAGCTTCCCAATCCCACATATCAATGAAATATAATTCTCGGGCAATCTCAGGTAACGCAAGTTAGAAAGGTTATTAATATCGCTTGGGAAAAAATCATCAACTTTAGGTTGGCTTAGCTTCCATGGGTGATCATATATTAAGTATCGCAAGTGATAGAGATTACTTATAGATCTTGGTAGCCTAGTCAAATTATAGCCCTCAATCTTTAAGTATCGAAGATGTATCAAATTTCCAATCTCCTCAGGAATCATTCTCAAGTTTAAAGTAAATATGCATAATAAGCGTAAGCTTCTCGATGCTTTGAATGTTTCAATAAGTCCACTGCAAAGATCCTGATCAGAATCTTTATAGAACAAGAAAAGAGAATGCAAATGCTTAAACTTCTCAATCTTTCTTAAGATGCCTGGATTTGTAGTTCTAACGGATAAGTGTCGAATAGTCTAATAAATTTTGAGAGATGACTCTTCATCATCCACAAGTTTACCACATTCATGTGCAAAATAATTAGATGCTGACTTATGTATTAAATCATGCATCTTGTAGTTATATCCGACCTTGTAGTTATATCTGAACTTGTAGTCATCTCCGACTTTGTCAAATAAAGCTTTTTTGACAAAAACATCAAAATACCTTCCTCCGATATCCTCCATAGTCATTGCTTGAGACGGCTGAATGAAACCCAATGCAATCCACATTCGAACTAAATCATCTTTATGGTACGTATGATCTTGTGGGAACATACAACAAAATGCAAAACAATTTCGTAAATGATTTGGCAGAACTATATAGCTCAGTCTTAAGATGGAATGGATAGAATTCTGATCCAATAAATTGCTTTCTAGAACTATCCTCCAATGCTTGTCATCCAAGTTGTCCTTCAGAACACCACCAATGACTTTAGCTGCCAATGGAGATCCTAAAAGCTTTTTAACTATCTCTCGAGCAATGGCACTTAATTTTTTATGATCATCAGGGGGGTTCTCTACACCAGCAAATGCATGAGAGTTGAGGAGCTCCAAACACTCATCTTCCTCGAGGCCTTCTAATTTAACTATTTTCTCCTTCTTTTTAATTACCTTTACGAACATCAGTGCAACTGAGTCCGTTCGAGTTGTTACCAGAATCTTACTACCAAAACCCCCATAAGCTAGAGGGGCAAGCACATCCTCCCATTTGTTTTTATCCTTCTCGTCATCCTCCTCCCAAATATCATCCAACACAAGTAAGAACTTTTTAGACATCACCTCCTCCTCGAGACACCCTTGAAGTTCCCCAAGTGTCTCCAAACGAGGCCTCTCCTTCTTAAGAGATTCTAACATATCTGCAATGACTTTTTTCACATCAAAGTTGTTGGAAACACAAACCCACATTCGAAAATCAAATTCCTTTGTAATTTCATCATCTTTATAAACATGTTGCAAGAGAGATGTCTTCCCCATACCACCATGGCCCACTATAGATAGAAGAGAAATGTTTCTGTACAAATCAGTTCCCCAAGGCTCATTTGATGGACTCAGCCACTCCATAACAAGCTCCTTCTCCTTGCGCCGCCCGATGAGATCATTTTTAGGCAAATATCCTGTTTCACGTGTTTTGTAGAAATGAACCTCCTGCTCCTTCTGTTCCTGCTTCGCGCTGTCTAAAAGATGAAGGAAAGTAGTAACATCAGCCGAAACTTTATCAAGTTTCTGCACAGCCTCCTCCAGTCGCTTCAAGTTGGGATCCCTTTTGAGAGCACGTTCGGCAATTTTGAGAATTTTATGACGACTTTCAAATAGGATGCTCATGAACTTTCTTTTCTGATCATATATTCGCGAGCAGAATCAAATAGGAAGCTCCTGCAGGTGGCCGAACGCACATTTATTTCTTCCGTGTTTTTGGTGAGCTGTTCTTTATGCTTTGTGTACTCAAACTCATCGAGCACATCATCCGCCTCATCAATAGCATCTCGCAGCTGCCATATCCATTTGTTGAAAGCCGGGTTCTGATCGCTGATTTGTGCTTGTTTAGCGGCGAAGGCGACAGCTTGGATCTTCGGGTGATTCTCTCGCAGCCTTTCCAGTTCCTTCTTCATGCCCGTCTGCTGTCCGACTTCATCTTCCAGGTAATCAGAGCAAACGTTGATTATCTTCTCCATGATTGGACCTACAACTAATTCCGCCATGGCACCGACGATCGAGGTTGTGAGAGCAGAACAACTGAACAGTATGAGAAACAGAGCTCGGAAGAGAAAGAACTCCAGCTGGAAATGGTCACATGCAGCATAAGTCAAATAAACGGAGATTAACTGAGAGAGAAGACGAAGCTTCCTTTTAGTTGACTAAAGTCAAGTAAAACGGAGATTAATTGGAAGGAATTTAATAATTAGTTGTTTGTTTCTGATATATGGTATCTAAATGTTGGTAGATTTTGATATAATGATTTATTCTACATAAAATTATATTATGAGTAAATCAAATATATAAGCATCAATTTGATTTAGTTTATTTGCATCTATAAGCATCAACAAATAACAAAATGGATTCAAAGAGCTCTAATGATAAATGAGATTATTTTGAGTTGAGCTCATTGATTGTTAGTGTTTGGCTCTTTTTAAAGTTTATTCGTTAGAGTTTGGCTCAACTTCAAAGATATTTATGAATAGCAAGTTCTTATTTGATTTATTTGTTCTTGTGTGACTTGTATTCAATTTGAATTCAACTCAAAATAGTAAAAGAATATTAACTTTCAAAAATTTTAATAACTCATAAAAAAAATAAAATTTTATAGGTGATAATAATCAATTAAGCTCAAAATTTAAAATCCAATAATTTAATATCTTATATTATAAATAATAAGTTCATTATTGATAATTCACTACAGAAAAAGCGCCTATTATCTGCAGAAATCATCAACATAAATCATGACTTTTTAGATGAATTTCATCATTTTTGGTGGCTTTCTGGCGAAAAAATTTATGCTAGCATGAACCACGTATGAAACAGAATTTGACTATTCACGTAAATCCATTTCCCCACGTATGAAAAAAGAATTATCAATGATAAATTTCATGAGATGTATCCTATGCCATGATCTCTGTTCTCAATTTAAAGAAAACATCCACCACTAAAACCACCAATGTTTAAAATTTGTTGAAGTATATTCCACTTCAAGACCATGTAATTACATTGCTGATTTTTTTTTTCCTTTTTAAAATATGAAAATAATTGGTTGAGGCTTTCCCATTTTAACTGATAGAGGCTAATTATCCAACATGAAGGATATGGCCGAATGGTGGAGAAGAAAATGCCTCAAGCAATTTAATATAAGTGGATTATGATATTAATAATAAAATAATAATGTAATATAAAAATAACTATATAATTTATTAAGTTTTAATATTGAACTCATTAAAATTTTTCAGAGCTTTAAAAATTATTAAAAAATATCTATTAAATAAAACATTTTATTTAAAAAATATTTATAAAATCAGTTTACAAAACGGACACCTAACGGTCCCAAAATCCCAACTTGTATCTACAAGTATCAATTTCTTAAGGATTTTTACTAGTGCTAAAAAATTATGAAATAAATCGTGTAATTAAAATACTATAATAGTGAAGATATTTTGTGATTTTTACTTATAATAATAACTCTAGAAAAAATTTATTTGCCTAGATCATTTAAGGAATACAAGCTTGCGAATGAGAAGGAAGGAGAAGGCAAAGATTGCTACCTACGGATTGAGCGAGCTCCTATTGTGACTTCAAATCCGACGCCATCGAAGGAGGCAAAGCAACGAGCGAGCTTTCGTCGTGCTAAGCCCGCACAGCACGCGAAGACGAAACAGCCAAGAAGAAATGACGATGAGGAAAAGCAACGAAGCAGGAGATGCAAACCCTCCGACCACCTAAATTATAAATTAATCCAAACTAGCATTATCAATATAATTTAGATATTATAATTAATTATATAAATGAAATAATTAGTAGTATGATTAGTACTATAATTAAGTAAATTAATTTAGTTTAATTAAAAAAATTAATAGAAAATGACCTCCCCTTGTCTTGGAATCTCTTACAACACACTCAAAATATTATTCCAAATCCATTTGACCCAAGTCCAACCCTTGGGATAACCTGGTTGACCAAGTCAACTTAGGTTGACCTATTAGCTCTTAAAGGGCTTAAATGGGTCAAATTAACCCATTTGAGCTCTCCCACTCCTATCACCCATTCAAATTGACTCCGAGACTTGACTTAAGCATAACTTGATACTCGGTCAACCTAATCCAACTTGAGTTGACCAAGTCAACTCTCAATTCTTAGTCAAACTTTAAAGGCACTTACTTTAACCCACTCTAGCCTTGACTTTGTCCCTTGACCCTTGCCTAAACCACTCCAAATAATTTTTCACCTCCCAAAGCGCCACATCATCAGCTTTGACCTTGTTGACTTGTCAAACCAAGTCAACAAGGTCTTTAGACCCCATTTTGAGGTTGTCAAACCCTTCCTTTGACCCCAAGAGCATTGCTTGAGCTTTGAACCTCATCTAACCTGCTCCCCCCATCCTTCCACTGCCACCTTAGCACTCATTGACCAGTTTACTGGTCAAGGGAGTCAATGCATCCTTAAAACCCCTTTTCATAGTTAAAGCCCTACAAAATTCCACTTTTTTCCTATATCACATGCCTAAGCTCACCCCATTGGCTTTATTTCCCTGGTTAAGCCCTGAATAAGCTGCGTTGGGGCAGCCTTCTAATGGCTTGGGACACGCGTTGGACATCTAGGGGAGGCCTTTGATGCATCACAACCATCCAATTTGATCCAGGCCATTTTGAATAGGACAAAACCCTATTTTGGATAAGGATTATTTCCTTAGCATTCTCTCACTCAATCCTTCTCCTCCAGAGCTATTCAAGCCCTTAAAAACTCTCTAAAATCTTCTCCAGACATTTCTTTAGCTCTTCCAAGCCTCCCTCTACCAGATCCTGGCCTCCAAACCCTCATTGTAGAAGAGAGATGGTTTAAAGAGAGAATCAGGAGATTCAAGCATAACCTCAAATCCAGCCAGCTCCAGCTTTTGGTGTCTCATCAAAGTTGTAGAAGATCACTGCAGCTTTTCAACAAGCCCAAGATTACAAAATTCCACTAGATAGATTGTAAGATATACTTACTTTTAGTTTAAAATTAAATTTGAAACTATACAAATTTTAAAATGCATGGAGCCTCCAAACTCCAGGCATTGCAAGATCATGTTGCCCTCTAGCTACAGTTCAAATTTCGTATAATTTTATCAAGTATTTTGAAAGATATGGCCATTTGAAAATTTTCAAGGCGCGAACGGATGGCCCTAAATCTGCCACGTCGCCACCGTGCGGACTCCTGCTGTATTCTAACCCGTGCCCTCTAGTTTGCTCCAGGATGCGTGGTGGAATCTGGACTGTCAATTTTTTTGCGGTCGATCAGACGGTCCAAGACCTATCCGACGTGTTTAAGTGACCGCTGGGGTCCCTCTACGTGTCCTGCCACGTGTCAGCCGATGGTGGCGGCGGCACAATCATTGCCGCCGCCGTTTAATCATTAACTTGAATATAAAAAATTAAAAAAAAAACTAAATCTTTCAAAATTCACAATAAATCTAATTTTTCACCAAATTTGATGTTTCTGGGCTCGTTGGAAAGGGCATTTTATCTAGTATTTAATAAAATTAATTTTGAGTTGATTTGTACATTGGATAGTGAGATATTTGAGCATGTTTGAAATAAGTTTTTTGTACTTTTCTCACAATCCAGTGGTCAACTAGAGCCCAAACTTTGGTGAAAGATTATTGGGTATCTTAGACATGTCTAGTAATTTTTTTAGGATCAGATACCCATTAGATTTCTTGATATGAAGTTTTAAGGCAAGGGGGCCATTTTGGACCCTAAACTTTGAAATTTCATAACTCCTTAGGATTTTAGTATTTATTTTACTGTGATATTTCTGTGGTATGATTGCATGGATTTATTGAAGGTTTTATAGGTTTCAGATTCAGTTGGTAGTACCAAGTGTGGGTAGTATCTTGATCCTTAACCACTAGATGAGACTTTAATCTAATTTCCTTAAGTTTATCAGATCAAGAGAGCTAAGACTTGATAGCTCTTCATCTTTTGGATGCTGAGATAGGGGTTTCTCTACTACGACCTTTCTTATGACGTATTGAGTAAATGGAGCTACCAGTGATCTAGCCATATTTGAGCTTATTAGATTCGACCTCTTACACTCATTTATGTTTCAGACTTGAGCTACAAGAAATATGCTTCTCAATGCTGATTTTGCTAAAGTTAATAGATTAAGAATTCTCCCTTATAATTGAAGATTTAGTGTCTACGAATATTTGGTAATCACTCGAGATTCTTCCTTCTCGTAGAAAATTTGATTCTTCAATCAATTGGGAGAATTGGGAAGACTACGATCACTTGAATTAGTCGAGTCAAATTAGCCTTCATTCTTCCTACGATCCCTATTAATGGGTTAACGAAATAGAGGTTCCTCTACTATGGCCTTTCTTATGGCGTGTAAAGTAGATGGAGCTGCCAGCTATCCGACTATATTTGGTCTTGTTGGATTTGACCTTTTATACCCATTCGAACATTAAGCTTCAAGTTGTGAAAGCCTTCAAGCTGTTTTGGCTTAATTTGTTGTAGCGTGTAGTCACAAAAGTTTCTTTCTTGACTTTCAAACCTTTGTACGTTGGAGAATGTAGTATCTCAAACTTTTTGAAGATCACCTGCATATACTTTAAAAAGAATTTAATGTATTCTTCAATATAATAAAATATTATGTTGATAATTTTAAATATTTATTCAGGAATTTTGGTATGTAGCATGATATTGATCCGAATAAATATTTAAAATGCCATCTGTCTCGCTGGGATATTTTAAAGTAGAATAAATTTGGAATTTTAAGATTTTAAATATTTTTTTGGAGATCTCAGCGCATAACATAATGTCTATCCAAATAAATATTTAAAATGCTCCTACCTTGCAGGAATATTTTGGATAGGCTTTATATCTTTGAGGTTTTAAATATTTATTCGAGGATCTCAATAGGCAGTGCGATGTCGACCCAAATAACTATTTAAATTGCTCCCAATCTGATGGAGGATTTTAACTTGCATTTTTTGCTATATAAGAGAATCTCAAAAATATAAAATACATATGTGATAATAAACATGTATAAAATACATATCACATTGAATATATCATTTTCTTGGGCAATTTCATATGTAGTATTTCTTCAGATATTGATCGTTGATTGGCGGCATAGGTCTCTGACCTTCCAAATCAATCAACTGATAAGCTCCTCCTTGAAATACTTTCTCTACAACAAAAGGCCCCTCCCATTTGGATATGAATTTGCCACCAATTTTTTCGATATGGGATGATTGGCCTCCTTAGAATTAGGACTAATTCCCCTTCTTGAAATGCCTGAGGATGCACCATATGATCGAAGGATTTTTTCATTCTTCCCTGATAAATATCC